ATATCGTATCGTGACCCGTCTGTCATGATATGTATCGTATCGCCAAATTCTTGCCAATACACAGTCCTAGTGTTTTGCGGTGGTCTTGCACTATTATTTTGTTTGCAGTTTCAGTGGTAGTACAAATTAGCATTAAGAACATTTGTATATCCAATAGTGTGTTCAGGAACAAAATGGGTCTTTGGGGGGGGGGGAAATTCCAGCTTTTTAGAAAATTATCTGGAGGCAGTTTCACAGAGTACAAAAATAGTGCCGCAGATGTCAAATGAAAAGCTGAATATCCAGATTAAAAAAGCTTTTGCACTGAAAGTGTCACAACTTGTCTCTATGGTCATCTCAAATGTTTTTCTTTTTAGCTGTAACAAAATCTAATGAGGAGTAGGGGTTAGTTGGATGCTTGGCTTAAAAAAACATTTAAGCTATATTTAAGAAATGTAAAAATTATGTAATTCTTTAGTTTATTTTGGAAGCTAAATGTGAAGTCTGGACATACTTATTGATTTGTGACCTCTCCTGTTAATGCTGGCAAACAATGATGCTTCATTTCTGTTCAAAACATTTCAACACCAAAACTAAATAGTTGAAGTTGAGCTGTTTATTCTGGACAGTATGTACAGTTCAGTTGAAATACAAAGGCTTGCTTATTGCAACACAATGTTTTGTTTATGCTTAGTCCAATTGTAGTATTTCTGTGTGGGTTGATGGAGGTAAAGCAGCCACACTGCAGCTCAGCAAAAGGCCACGAGGGCCTGGATCTAAGAAAAGATCTACAGCATGTTTTAGCCCAGTTTTTGAGCGCATCCACTGTTTATATTTGAAGATGATGAATGTATTTATTGTGGCAGTTAGTCCAGCCGTGTTCCTGCTGCAGTAATCGATCAGATGCTCTCTCGGCTCCAGGATGTTAACTTCTTCCTGAAGAATGCTGAGCTGGCAGCCTCACCACCAGCCCTCTTTATTATGACAACAAATAGCTCATATCTCCTGCCCCCTTTTCCTGCCTTACTCACTAAACGGTTTGGATTTTCTCATGGCTGTTTTCCTGTCGCAGGAGGAAGGTCGAGGTCAGGGCTTCACGGAGGGCTCCTACCAGGGCCGCCAGCTCTTTCGCTGTGAGGAGGAGTGTGGCGTGTTCGTGGCCCTGGACAAGCTGGAGCTCTGGGAGGACGATGACGACGAGTCGTTGAGCCAGCTGGAGGTAGATCATGTCAGGCTGGTGGAAGACGATCAGGACTATCCTCCACTGGAAATCAACTCCCGGGTTGTGGTGCAGACCAGAGAGGGACCTGAGAGAGGCACCATCATTTTCTGTGACCTGCTACCAGGCAATGAGAGCCTAGGCTACTATGTGGGAGTTGACATGGTAAGTATGGCTTCTGTTAAATATAGGAGTTTTTCACATGCAGACAGGTGCATTAATGTTGCTAAAAGGCTTTTATTTATTTATTTATTTACTTACTTACTTACTTACTTACTTACTTACGTACTTACTTACGTACTTACTTACTTACTTACTTACTTACTTACTTACTTACTTTCGTACTTACTTACGTACTTACTTACGTACTTACTTACGTACTTACTTACGTACTTACTTACTTACTTACTTACTTACTTACTTACTTACTTACTTACTTACTTTCGTACTTACTTACGTACTTACTTACGTACTTACTTACTTACTTACTTTCGTACTTACTTACTTACTTACGTACTTACTTACTTACGTACTTACTTACTTACTTACTTACTTACGTACTTACTTACTTACTTACTTACTTACGTACGTACGTACGTACGTACTTACTTACTTACTTACCTTTTAATTAACCAGGAAATCCCCACTGAGATCCAGAAGTATATAAATTACTTGAAAGAAATAACTAAGTAAAAGTAAAAATACCTTACCAGAAAATGACTTTGGTAAAAATGAATTTCACTAATAAGAAAAATACTTTTAAGTAAAAATCATAAACCTGCTCGCAATAATTGGGAAAGTAAAAGTACGTTTACACAGACAATGAAGTGTTGTATTTACATAACCAAACTGGTTCCACTATTCAGCTTGATTTAGTGGAACCAGTTGACATAACTGGGTTAAGTAAACACTTCATCTTTTACAACTCCTTTCATGATGGTTTGATCATATTAAAATTCGTAACGTGTAACTAGGTGTTAAACTTGAAAGTAAAGAAGTTTAGTTTTCGAATGTAAAAAAATAAAAGTTACAATTAAAAAAAACTTTGTAAAATGACAAATCCTCAAAAGAATTACTTAAGTACTGTACTGAGTAAATGTACTTTGTTACTATACACGTCTGCTGAGATCATAGATAACTTTTACAAGAGAATCCTGGGTYTGTGGCCACTCTAACATTCATACCTTTGGACTTGTTTTAGTAGTTTTGAACTGCTAGGCAAAATAATAATTTGTTACATTATAACACTTTAAAAATCTGCTTTGGCTGTTTCAAGTTAACATACTTTGGATTAATAAATTCTACAGAATTAGCCTAAAAATCTCGARCACTACTTTTTTAAATTAGCTAAATATATACAGTGTTTCTGCAGATCCTTAAAAAAATCTTAAAAGGCATTGAATTCATCAATCCAAATATACAGTAAGGCCTTAATTAGCCTTAAAATGTCTTAAATGAATCTTTCAGAAGTCTTAAAAATGTTAACATATTGTAAATATGATGATTTTAATTCATCGCATATATTAAATTAATTGGAACATTTATTGTTTTTAAATATTCACATGCAGACATTCCCCTTTGACATCACTTCCTATTATTTCACATGCAAATATCTCAACAACTGTTCCTCTGAGCAATGAGAAATTTATTTAATTTGTTAATAATGTTATCTTTTCAACAATGCATTCACTTTTCTTACAAACATTTAGTGTCACAGGCACTTGAAGGTTTCATCCACAGCAAATTAGGTTAAGACCCCACTGTGGCTCCTAAAACTCCAAATTTTGGGTTGTCAGAGGATTTCCTGAAATTAAATTAAGTTTAAAACTGACTGCTAAGAATGTTTCTACCATAGTTAGATATGAATCAAAACAATTGCTTTATTAGCAATATTTGAATACTTCAACCAAAAAATACTTTGATTCATGAGTTTCTGCCAGTTTTTATTTATTTAATTTTTTTGTCATTTGTGTTTATTATGAAATTGGTCTTAAATTGAATTACAGTTGGCATTAAAAAGTCTTTAATTTAACTTGCTTTAAATTGTAGGAACCCTGTATATAAAATTATATTAAAAATAAGCAAACATTTTTAAGGGTTAATAATCAGAACATTTAAAAATGTCTGATTTTTCCTCATCCAATTTTACCTTTATGTGAATATGAACAGTCTTGTTTCACGTGTTACATTGTCAGTATTTACCAAATACACAATGTGAAAAATGACTGACCCATACAGTTGTCTTTAGATCACACTGACAATGATACATGAGCCTAGTAACTCCTGTACAAAATGCAGGGGTATGTCCCACTCCCAGTTAGGACAGCAAACCTCATCAGCTTGAACATTTACTTGTTGTTGATCCTCTTAAATATTACTTGCTTAGTTTTTCACTCTTAGACCTAAGCTCCCTCAGTCATTCAGCTTTTTGTTTCAGTCAAGAGTTGATGTGATTTCTTGTGCTGAAACTCTGGTGTTACTGATGAAACACTGGTGTTGTGACACTGTGCCCCTGTGAATAATGTGTGAAATTTCAGTGCCTGTGATTGAAATCAGTAACCTCTCCAGTGATATTCCCATATTGTGTTACTAAATGTTTCGACTTGGGCACCGTCCATGACTTCCTTTTATGTGTTGCATTCGTTTTAATGACCAGTTGTGTAGAAGTTGCATCGGCTCGTTGTAGTTTTGTATCTATGGCTACGGTTGTGAGGCAGCAGCGGTGTTGGGAGTCTTAGTGAGATTAAAATGCATAACTGAGGCATTTGACTGCTGATCGTTAGCAGCAGCCGCATCGGCAGCCCACTCAGAGCCTCCCACATAAAGGCAAGGCAGTCACGCGGGGAGTGAGGTAAAGACTTAGTGCTGTATGACCCAAGAGCGTGGCAAGGGGCCAGCAGCGAGCTGAGGAGAGCCCACTGCTCTGCCTCACTCTCTGTCCAGCCTCGCCCTGCCTGCTCTTGCTAGTGGCGCTGGCGTCAAACTCAGATTGACATCCTGTAGAGGTGTCTTTGGACAACAAGGAGCTCTAAAGAGGGACGGATCTGAACAGGAAGAGGTTTTTATTTGGGCTGTGAAGATGAGATAAACACTTTGGATTATTATAGCACAAAGGATCTGACTTAATTTTTTAAAGATTTTTTTTTTAGCTTGTGCAACAAGACGCCTGACCTCGCCGAACACCAGAAAGCTACAGAGTAGCACTTGTGGCACCAACAGCAGCCTCACAGTGATGAGGAGCGAATGAAAGCTTTTAGGTTCTCATGTGTCCAACTCTTTCAGGACAATCCGATCGGGGACTGGGATGGTGTGTTTGAAGGGAAGCTGCTGTGTAATTTTGCCAGTTTGGAGCACACTCGACTTGTTCCCATCTGTGACGTAATGCCAGGTGAGTCACCTCGTCCGTCTCCATGTTTGTCCAGCGGTTGTTCAAACTTTTGTTTTGTTTCCTTTTTTTTATTTTATTCCTGAACGCATTCAGCTGTCCCTCCCTYGGAGCAGCACTGAGCTTCCTTCTGAGCCGTCTGAGTTTGTGTTCTGCTTGTGGCGGGAACAGAGAGCCTTTTGTGACCATCGCTCACTTGTTTTTGAAAGCCAAGTGAGATACTCTGGCTCTTTGTTCTCCCTAGTGGCGCACTAACGTGTTTTTGTGTGCTGCTGCCCACTTTCTTCAGATATTCAGACAATTTAGCACATTTGTCCCTTTGCGGCTTTGTGGTTTTGTGCTCCTAACATGGCTGTATTTCTGTACAGAATACTCCATGCAGGATCAAAGGCTGCAAAAGCACAGTTTTGCCTCCAGAGGCAGCAACAGCGACAAGTCGTCCTCTGGCCAAAGCAAACCAAAGATCAAAGGTACCAAACTGTTGTTGTAATGCTAAGCTAACTGGTAGCATCACGGCTTAGTGTGAGGGTCGGTTTTCTAACTGTTCCACCAAAACATTCTGTTTTTAACTATTAAATGTAACATTTCTCTAGAGATCTTCACTGGTGTGTTTTTACTGTAGTTTCCATGCAACATTCTATGCTAGTATAGGACTGATTACGAAACAGAACATATCGGTAAAAATAAACAAAAATGAGCATAATTGTGTCATACTTGACATAAAATTTGAAGTTTTCTAGCAGGTGCTGCTTTGACTTGGTGTAAATGTAAATTTAAAGTATATTTTTGAGTTATTTTCCCCCTTGTTTGCTGTTGAAATGACTTCAGACACATACTCATCCGCTGTGCGCCTGCACATTAAGCTTGTCTTTTTGTTCTTTTATTTTTCCTTTTTGTTTTGTTTTCCTCGTGTACTTGTGTTACCTGCAGGATTAGGTCATCAGTGTGGAAGTAGGAGCAAGTCTGAATTTTACTATACTTTAAATGGCAGCTCTCTTGATCTCCCCGCCCAGCCCAAATCCAAAAGCACATGGTACATTGATGAAGGTAAAACTTACAGGATGTCAGTCATCTTGTTGGCAAGCTCCTGAAAACAACAAGCTACAAGCTGATCCGTACTAAGGCACACTGTAATAGTTGCAGCTCCACTCCCACTCAACTTTGATATATTTATTTTTACAAGATGTATTCATTCTGGTACTGAAGAGGGTTTTTTTATATACAAGAAAGTGCCTTTTAACATGTCATCATTTATTATTGCATTTTGAATACTAGGAAACAGCTTTTCTCTTGCTTAACCAAGTTCTTAAGAAGTACATCCATACATATTAAATGTAAAATGAGTTTAAATTTTGTGATGTACATTTTCTGTATGAAAGGTCTTATTTAGATATTTATTGTCAGCTAGGTACAGTATATTTGTGCAACTCTGATATTCCTTTCACTTCTACTCACAAAGAAACTAATATGCTGAGGAAACTGATCCAATATTGACAGGTATTTCTGTACAAGAGTTTATTATTATTATTATTATTATTATTATTATTATTATTATTATAGATGAGATTCAGCTCTATTTTACTCTGTATGTTGCAGCTTTTGAAACAGCTGTCTAATATAAGATCCCACCAAAATGTGGTTTTATCCCAGTCTTACTTTTTTTTGGTAGAATACAGAGCAAAGCAAAAATAATAAAACCAAAAGGAAAGCAGTAATGATTGATCTGGTTTAATACTTGGCGAAAAAAAAATCTATTATGAAGTTGACATCTACAAACTTGGCATCTTAAATAGCCGCTGTTGTTGCATTTCTCATTTAACTCACAAACAACATTGTAGGAAAGATGAAGCCTGAGGAGATTGCATAAATAGTGACTCAAGTCTTTCACTTGGTGACGCATGTGTAGTAAAGGAGCTGTATTTTTCTCTTTGAGATGAATGACTAAAGTGCTTTAAATAACGGTACCAGAATGGATTCTGAAGTCAGCTTTTGTCTGACTCCTCTGAACTAAAAAAACAATTTGGATTTTCTTGCAGATCTACAGTAAATTTACTGTAGCTAAAACAAATTTACCACAAGTATTCTAGCAGCAGCAAAAACACAACATTGTGGAAGTGTGTGCCTCTGACATTRTTTCTAGAATAGAAACCAAAGAAGCAGTTTGTTGCAGTAGCTTGCTATCAAAACACTTTCCACTCGTCTTTCATCGTCACTTTAGCGTTATTTTTCTTTCCGCATGAAGCAATGGATGTTGCAGAAGACTTTTCTTAAATGTTCAGGGCTGCAAATTACTTTTACATTCCTAATTATTTTTGGCACTCATCCCATCATCTGTGTTTTTGGGACCAATAATTTGGATGATTTTGCTGTTAAATGGTTAAAGTGGGCATGCTGTCATCTGTATTTTCCAGTTGTGAAGCAGCTTTTTTTTTTTTTGCAGTTATTTGTTTATTCAACAAAAATAAAACAATTTTTTTGAGTTTTGGAGAAAAAATTGTGTAAATGGCACGTGCCATATTAGGAAAAAAAACCTGCAATGTTATGTTTGTATTACTTGTGGAAAAAATGTCAAAAAGCAAAATGCTGCAAAGGTATGTCAGTTGTAGTTTTATGTTTTCATGCTTACATAATGCAGAAATTAAAAAAAAATGCTGACATGCTGTTTTCACAACTGCTCACTCATTCTGTCCATGTGGATTTGTTTTCATCTTGTTCAGGGTCACTTTTCACATTTGTGTTGTTTATTCTTTATGGTTTTGGTGCTCGATTACTGGGTACTCATTTTCATTTTGTTTTTATAATTAATGGAATGTTGCAGTTGTGGCCGTTTTTTTTCTAAATTTAAAATGTGATGATTATTTTTTTGCATATTTTACAAAGGATTATATTAAAATATAAAATGATAGTCTACAGCTTCACATGTATCATAGCATGTTTGTGATGCTGTTCAGTGTATCTTTAGTAATAAAAGCTGTAGACAATAGTAAGTACAAGCTTATTATTTAATTCGGTTAATTACTTTTTTAATATTTTATAATATTTTACTGAGTTTTTGCAGCAACATGGAGCTTTTTTATAGAATGTCAGTTTGTGAAAAATAATGGAGAATAATTTTAACTTCTCATTTTTTAAACTGTTGTTTTTAAAGTTCCCAATTTGATTTAGAGGTTGTTCATTTCAGACTGATTCATTTTTCACACGTTCTTTTATTTATAGGTCAGTCCTAAAAATAAAATCAAATCTTGTAAACTTCAGATTTTAGCAAAGATAGAGACCAAACTATATCCTAAGAACTCCCACTTATACTAGCTCTCTTTTCTCAAATATATTGTTTTAAAGTCATCATCATTTTAAAAATACTTTTTAGATTCTCAAATTACTTCAGACAAAAACAATAGGAGTTATTTGAAAACTGTAATGAAAACTGTAGTAAAATAAAAACACGGTTTTGATTACTTCACTGCAGTAATTCAACCATTCATTGAGTTTAATATTTAGTTATTTATAAGCATTTTATGGGGAAAAGGAGCACAGCATCTAAATATAGGGCATTTTCACAGCTGAACAGAAATATTCCTGTTAACATTTTGATAACAGATATTTGGAGGTAAAAATAAAACAAAAAAAATCTGAAATGGATCATCTAAAATTAAGTGGAAATGAGTTGAACAGAACAACAAGAAATTATTATTGATGGTTCGGCCATGTTGATCCTGAACACGGAGTTCAGGCCATATTTTAGGTGACGTTTTATACCTTCTGCAAGAAACTTTGAAGAACCTTTTTGATTTATCTCAACATAAAACACACCTCTAGTCTTATGTAAAACTGCTTGGAAACAAAACAGAAAGATGGTGTGATTTCAGTCATGTTAGGGTCACCTCAGTCGCACAAATCTTAACACCACAGAACCTGTTTGGGGTGGGCTTTGGCTGAAAAGTTTCAGCTATGCAGACAATGTCAAGCTTCTGTAGAAGGAGAATACAGCAATCCTATCATGAAGATCAGCTACTTTGACAAGTCAAATATTTTTAACATTTAACTGAGTGTTCCTTTTGAGAATGAGACTTGGATTTTCCTTCATACATTGTATATTAAGATTTTTGCATTGGAGCGTTGCTGCACAAACAAAGCAGGAAGTCAAAAGAGTCATTCATTAACCCAGTGGGATGAAAAATGTCACAGAGGACGATGAAAGAATGTGTCTGCATTTCCATTGTTTAAAAACACAACTGTAGCCATTTATTTTTAAACGGAAGTCCAAGTGAAACCATTAGTTGATTTTAGTTCATCTACCTGCCCAGCTAAATTACATGGAAAAATAAAAACATTAAAAACTACATAACGGAGGGACAAAAGAGGCAGAAAACTGTATGTTGTGATTATACTGTAAAAACACTTTCTTTGCTTGTTAATATTGCATAAAATCTGCTTTTTAAATACCTCAGCAATGAGGCCCTAGGTTTTAGCTCGTCATGTAATTCTCAGGTATATGTTGGTGAGTCCAGACTGTTGACTGGGTCTGACTGTGTTCCAATAGAAAACATCTTATTCCACATGTGAAAATGCTCTAGGATGTTGAGATTTGTGCTGACAAACCATAATTTGACACGGTCTACAAACCGTCTGCTCATCAAAGTTTTAAACTCCCACATCGCATCAGACGTCCCTTCAGACCAACTCAGTAAAAACAGGAATTTTCAGCAAATAACACGTTCACGTACAATAATGTTCCCTATGTTAATTTGTGGTTCTGGCCTTCCTTTTGCAGTTGGAGAAGATCCCGCCAAGTCTCTTACTGACACGCCCCCTGAGTTTAACCAGTCCTCTCCGCCCTCCAGAGCCACGCCCACTTCCTCTCTGTCCAGCGACAACAAGTTCCACTCGCTGCCGTTCAGCCTGAACCGTAAGACCGTGCCCAATGAGAACATAAGCCAAGGGCCCATCTCCCTGTCTGTCCAGTCTGTGATGGGAGAGCAGCCCGACCCTCCACCGCCCGCTGCTTCTCCCTCGCCGCGACCTCCGACTCCACCTCGAGGACAGCCGGGTCTGGAGGTGGGCACCCTGGTGGAGGTGAAGGAGAACCCCCCACTGTGTGGTGTTATTCGCTGGGTGGGTCTTCCTCCTGGCCTGCTGGAGCCTTTAGCTGGCCTGGAGCTGGTGAGACATGGAAATTTGTATTTGTGTTCAGTGGACATGCTTTATCATGTTGATTTTGTTCTTAACAGTAACATTATAAGTAGAAACCTTTTTTTGTTACCACCTTTTGACCAACATAAATGCTTACAGAGGAAAAATAGAGATGATCTGTGGATTTTCAGGGGATTTTCAGTCAAGTTCAGTGACTTCCTAAATTCTCTCATGGTGTGTAGGCTGAAGGGAAATCACTTCACTTACCCAAAAAGTGAACAAACTATAATTGACCCTTGTCATCGTAGTACTCAGTTGGTGTTTTTCTGCCTTGTTTATGTCACGCTCAAAGGAAGTGTCGTTAAAATGCAAATTACCAATTGACTAATACTGACTAAATATGGTCACAAAGTTGTTTTTTTTAAACAAGYATGTATGAATAAAGGACTAGTTCATATCTTTGGAACGGTGGTTCTGTGAATTATTTAATGATAGTCAATATCTTACTTGTTGTAGATGGTGCTATAAGTTTTGAGGAAAAGTTTAAATGTGACCAGATTGATGAACAAACATTGGATTTCTGTTTGTTCAAAGTTAGTCCGTTCTTAAAACAATTCACAACAGTTCATGTGCTCTAACCCTCAAATTGAATTACAGTTATTTCAGAAATACAGAAATACAGAAATTCCCAGCCTGCATTGGAAGTTCTGTATTACAGTGGTTTGCAAAAGTATTCATACCCCTTGAACTTTTCCATATTTTGTCACATTACAACCACAAACATAAATATATTTCACTGGAATTTAATG